GGAAACAAAAGAGTCACATCATTTTCTGCATTGAAAACTTGTACAGGAAGGCCTCCATGTCGACAAATAGCAGTTCACAGCACAATATTTGAAAGCACATGAACTAATTTTTCCTAGATGGGAATCTCCTTTTTTCTTTGAAGATTTGAAGTGATTCAGCTCAATTTTCCCAAAAAGAAAAATGAAATAAATAAAGTCTGACATGATAATCCCTCTGTATCCACAGAATTCCCCGATAGCCCTGAGATTATTACATTTCATGCCAATGAAAACAGTTTTCACAAGTTTCAACAGTAGGTCACATTTTCATCAGTTCATAATCAGTAAAGTATATGCATAGGTGTTTGCAGATGTATATATTGTTTCTCAGTTTTGAATTAATGAAATATGAGTAGTAGTTATTTATACATTTATTGTGATTATCAGTGCAACTTTAAAATATTGTCTCTTGAAAGACTGATGTGGATTTTTCAAGAACCCTAAAAACATTCTGAATGTATTTCATATGACTTTTATTTTTACAGTTTGTGAAGATGTTATTTGTAATTCGTTATTCTCCATACTTTAAGTGCTTCCAGTAGGGTTTTTGCCTCTGCAGTGAGATCCTATTGTGCCAATGTAGAGACCTTTTTACATCAGTGGGCCTCTAGCGAGAAGCAGCATCAGACCCCAGTGCAAGGCAAGGCCTCTGTGTTCAGTGGTTGGACAGGATATTTTTGTGGATGGATCAAATTGATGCTGAATATTTGCACAATAGCTAGCATCTTTTTACATCAGTTGAGATATTTTTGAGATAATTTCAAAGTGCATATTGCTGGCTCATGTTGAGCTTCTCATCAACCGGCATGCTGCACTCAGCCTGGTAAATGCTTTTTCTTTCCTCCACAGACAGTGATTCCTACCAAGAATATAAGAATAATCTGAAAGGATGTTGCATAGAGCGAAGGAAGAAAGTAAATTACAGATTTAGAGAAATAATAGCTAGGTGTGGTATGAATATAAATTGAAGTTGGATAATGAGAGACAGTGGGTTCTTTAAAAAAAAACAAAAACCAAAACACTTTAGAAAATAGTTTGTTTCTGGTATGCTTTAGCTAAATAAGTACAAGCTTGTTCCATAAAGCTGAAAACATTGATGTGTATTGAGAATGAATGAAACATGATTGGGCCTTCTAATAAGAAGAAAAACTTTGCATGCAAGTATCTCTGCATATATGTTTAATATTTGATGGCTGCCATAACTAACCTGTCTAGAATGTGATAGTATACAATTTTATGATTTTTAGCCACATATTTTTATGACCTTAGCATTAATACCTGTAATTACGTCTTATATATCATTCTACCCTGTTACCTGTTCAGCAACTGTGCACATTTTAAGAGAAAATAAAAACATTAACAAAGTTTGAAAGTAAGGGATTTTTTCACCTTTCTCCAATTTCATTTTTTAGTCTGCACATGTGTAACAGCATTAAATGTTACTTAAAGAATGAGAGCTCACGAGCAACAAAGAATAATTTCTACGAATCTGTAAACTCAATGAAGTTTCAAAGTTTTTGTAGCCTTTGAAGCAAAAACCTATTATAATGGAAGTTTTACACACATGTGGAATAAAGATATGAGGTTCTAATAGGGAAAATATTACTAATATTTATCTCATCATATGTTGTCAATCCAATTTTATCTTTTTTGCAATCACAAGTCCTGTCAAACTACTTTATTTTGGCTTAAAAAAAAAACCAAAAAACAAGAAAAAAAACAAACAAAAAACCATAAATGCACTGGTACTATGTAACTTATGAGAGCTCAGAATTCCCACAAGTTCTCCTCAAATCGTTTGGTTGCAATGTGCAGATTTGAGTGTGGGGAAAATGTGGTGTGTTTCAGACTAATTTCAAGGAAGTGCTTAATACAGTAATGAGTGAAAGTTACAGAGAGAAGTGAGAGAGCTATCATATCTGCTCAGCTTCAGATATCCTAGGCAGCTGATGACCACTGCTGCCAAAAAATCTGCTCTGGAGACTCTCAGCACAGCAGATAGAGAGGGAAGCAGCACAAGAGGCCATGTAAGCTGGGAGCTGGGCTTTGGAGAAGAGTTATCTGGCAGAGTTTGAACTGTGTTGAAAGCTTGCCTGTCTAGTCACCCTGAAAAGTTTTGACAGGTTTGAGATATTTCCGGAAAATGCTTAGATTCAATCACAGCAGCTTTTTCAATGCAATAATGCTGTCAAGAAATGATCAGTTATTAGATTTCTTTGGAATATTTCTTCACAATAGTTTTGGTTTGGGTTATCTTTTGGTTTTGATTTTTTTTTAATAAAATTCTGTTTGTTTCTTTGTTTTCCAACTTTAGAATAAAATTTGGGAATGAAAATAAATTTTTTTCTTGTTTCTCAGGGGTATCAGTGTTCTATAATGGTTCCTTTCACAAGGGGAGCTCTTCTCCGCAAATCTGTGTGTCAAATTTGTCTCTCCTTTAAGAACCCATTAGGTTATCAATCTCTCTTAAGGTCATGGACTCTCAGTTTTAGTAATCCTTATGGGAAATGGGCCACATGTTTATTGTCTTTGGTATGCACTGTTTGCTTTTTCTTTTAAGAAATATAGTCATCTGTTGTTTTCCAGATTTTTTAATATATTCTCTAATTTCTTCTGCATCACTGTCAGTTTCTCTGATCAGTTTTTAATACTGATATACTATAACAAGCTATAATACTGTCAAAAACTTTCAGCAAGAAAGGGCTGAAATCAAATGCTCTTGTGCAGAGTTCTCTTTCTATTCATTGCAGCTTCTGAACACATTTCTAGGTACTCTCGGTTACCATATGTTCTTCTGCTAATCTGAAATAATGGTGTGGTGGCAAAGCACAAAGAGTTAACGCAACAGATAAAGCAATTACATTGTAAGAATACACTGTGCCCATATGTGAAGAGGAAAAATTCAGTGCTGCTTTTGATGTTAGAATACGATGAGCTGGGCCAGGGGTACCCAGCACAGTCATGTGTGATATACACCCAGAGCAGAGAGTCTGTCTAGGTGGATTCATGTAACTCATAATCCTGGCTGAATATGAGCTGGCTTGCTCAGATGTCATCACAGAATCACAAAATATTAGGAGTTGGAAGGGACGTCGAAAACTCATCCAGTCCAACCCCCCTGCCAGAGCAGGATCACCTAGACTAGGTCACACAGGAACGCGTCCAGGCGGGTTTTGAATGTCTCCAGAGAAGGAGACTCCACAACCATTGACAACAATTGGTCATGGGGCCAATTCCCTGCAAGGATAGTAAAAGGTGTGTTTTTCTGAATCTAATGCTTGAAGATAAATCTAACGTCCATGTTAACATGAGTGGACCTATCACAAGAAGATGATAAAGAGTCTTTTCTTCTGTTATTTCCAGAGCCAAATTTTGTGTCATCTTATGACATCGGGAACTTTACCTACTTCTTCTTCCGGGAGAATGCAGTGGAACATGACTGTGGGAAAACAGTCTTCTCTCGTGCTGCTCGGGTGTGCAAAAATGATATTGGTGGCAAGTTCGTGCTGGAGGATACCTGGACAACCTTCATGAAAGCTCGGCTGAACTGCTCTCGTCCTGGAGAAATTCCATTTTACTATAATGAACTACAGAGCACTTTCTTCCTCCCAGAATTGGACTTGATCTATGGGATTTTTACCACTAATGTGTAAGTAAATTCCATATGTTTCATTTTCTTGCTATTTGTGATAGTAAAATCTAAAGCTTCTGAGATCCTCTCTTCTGCATATGTCAAGAAAACATGATAAATTCAAACTACTGTTTTCCTCAGTCCACGTTCCTCTTGTGAACACGTCAGTTCCAAATGCCTCCCACAAGAATGGTTGAAAGCATATGAAAAAAGGAAGAATTCTTAATGTTTCCTTACAGCAGGGGCCAGTTTTGTTTTTATTTTGCACACTATTTTAATACATAAATACATTATGTATTTATGAAATAAATATTTTTTAATCATGATGTTGACATGATCAGAAATTTGACCATGTCAGGAAGAGCTCACCTCACCCAAAAGAGAACAAGCAATGCTTTTATGTATTTTAAATTAGAGCTAACATATACTTATGTGAGTTAGAGGGTCAAACCAAGAATTTAATCTAATTTTAACTGAACCTATTGTATCAACAAGGTAAAATTAAAAAATGTGCAGTTTGTTTTTAAAAATTAAAATTTGTTAAATATTAAACATTGGATGGGCATAAATCTCCCTAGACTCTGATCTTGATATCAAGAGTTGCTGAAGACATTCGCCTCAGAAATGTCCTTTGTCACTTTAAACATGATACCTGGAGTTCATATGTTGCCTGGTAAGAGCAGCCCATACGTTATGGTTGTGCAGCTCAGTGTTCAGACCACTGGAACAGAGTTTCAGGTTTTGATTTCTGATCCTTTTACCTGCTTGCAGTGTCTTGCTCTTTAAGTCAGTTTTTTCTAGAATTTTAAAAGGTACATGTGCATCTAAACCATAGATCAGTGCTTCTTACTACTGCTGTAAACACCTGGATACATATTTTCTATAAATACCCATTAAGAAGGTGGAAACAGTCACAAATTAATGCCAACAAATTATGATCCCTAAGTATTTTAGACAGTGAGCCTCTAGGGATAGGAAAATTTGATGCTGTTTTCAACAGGAATTTTAATTTCATTGGTCTGTTTTATGAGCTAGTTCAAATTGTAGAAGACAGGGATTTCTCAGGTGGCATGCTCATACAGAGTTGAACATGTTCTTTTATGAGGAGTCAAAATTGCCTTGACATGCTCCTGTCATAGAAAGCCTGATGGGAGGAATTCTCTTCCAGAAAATCCACAGGGTTTTCACCATGGAAGGGGAATGACACTTTTCCCTCAGAAGGACTGTCCACACAATTTGGGTTATGATGGAGTCTCCTGTGCTACAAATTCCACAGTTTTTGAGGTTGCATAAAGATATGAGCAGTGCCATTAGCACACCTCAGCTCTTCTGAAAATGCCACATGAAAGTAGGCACTATTTGAAACAATTTTTGGACATTGTTGGAATATTATGGAGTTAGGACTGCTTCCCCATGTTGAATACCTGTTCACAGATATCTGCACAACCCATATGATCCACCTTTCAGCCCTGCAAACTGACAGTGTGGTGGAGAAGCACCAGGATTTCTTCCCATGATGGGGAACAACATATTCCTTTCTGTTGGTGTCACAACATCAGATATCACTGAACCACATTCAGCATATTTCAACCTCAGTATCTTCAGAATAGCAATGATTTTATTGTACCCTAATGCTTTTTTTAATATACTGTGAATAATTTTGTGGGGGAAGAGCTGAAGCATTTCTTTCAATAAAAACTGAGTAATAGCAAAACCTGTACCCTTTAGCTGTGGTTGATGGTTAAGTCCACTATAGCCACTGCTTCATAATGAAGCTGATTTTGTTTCTTTCAGACCACCTGGAAATGTATAAGCATTAATGTCCTTTAAGGACTTCAAGAAATTCAAGAAGGCATTCTTATGGTTAATTATATCGGTGAGCTGCATTTAGTGATAGTTTACATAGGCAAGGAATCATCAAAACCAATGATAATTGATTCTGCAGAAACTGTTAGCATGAAACTTCAAGTTTTGGGGCTTCTTTGAAATAAGTGTGACAGGCATAAAAAGGCAAATTGCTCATTTGTCCTGCTATGAAATTCGTATTTTCCAACTCTTTCTTTCAGTTGTAGGTAGATTTGGTACCCTGAGGTTATTTTTTCTTTCCATCATTTGGAGTTTCTATAGTAACCTTTCTTGAACCTTGTGTAGATTACAGGCTAAGTTTATAAAATAGAAAAAAGAATCTCAAATTGTGGAAAACAACAATACAGTTTCCGTATGATGACTCATAATATCTCTCATATTTACTGGATTATATTATTTACACTGTGCAGAATTACTTTTCTCATGTATATCACAATGTCAAGACAGTCACAGGAAATTGTATGTATTGCTTGGCTGCTGTTTATTCATGTTTATTCCTCTAATGGGGTATATTGTAAAGTACGCAGTCCAAATTGTTTTTTTCTTGCTGGGTTTCTGGAACTTGCATTCTTATTGCTGTGCAGCTTCTCTTAGAAGATGGGATTTTTTGGAAAGTGTCTTAACCAGGAGTTCCAGAGGGTCCAGAAACATACCATAGGTCTAAAATCCTTACTTCTGTTGTGCTGCCATTGGTGGTATAGTAGAAACATTAATGAACCCTGAGAATAATCTCATCCTGAACTTTGTAACTAGAAGAAAGGTATCCCCTTGCAGGTGATTATGTGTGGAAGTATGGCCTTGTGGTATTAGAGCAGAAGATAGGAAGTTCTGAATTTCTCCCACACCAGCTACTTGGCAAGATTGACAAAAATTTTAAATCCAATGTCCGTGCCTAAATCAGCATATCATATATCATTATCTTGAGATAGAGAATCATAGAATCACAGAATGTGTTGGATTGGAAGAGACCTTTAGAGGTCCAACCCTCCTGCAGTGAACAGAGACATCTCTAACTAGATCAGGTCCCTCAGAGCTCCATCAAGCCTGGTCCTGAACGTTCCCACCTCTCTAGGCAACCTGTTCCAGTGTTTCAACACTCTCATAGTGAAGAACTTCTTCCTAATGTCTAATCTAAGTATCTACCCTCTTTCAGTTTAAAACCATTGCCCCTTGTCCTGTCACTATGAGCCCTTGCAAATAGTTCCTCCCCTGCTTTCTTATAAGCCCACTTCAGGTACTGGAAGGCCGCAATAACGTCCCCTCAGAGCCTTCTCTTCTCCGTGCTGAACAGCCCCAACCCTCTCAGCCTGTCCTCATAGGAGAGGTGTCCCAGCCCTTGGATAATTTTTCTGGCCTCTTCTGGACCCACTCCAACAGTTCCATGTCCTTGTACTGATGGCTCCAGAGCTAGACACAGTATTCCAGGTGAGGTCTCATGAGACCCAAGTAGAGGGACAGAATCACCTCTCTCGATCTGCTGGCAGTGCTGTGTTGTTAATTATTTGAAGGATTGGAGAGTTATTGCCTTTTAAATTTATTTTTCTGCAAATGGACTTCTTAATGTTATTACTTAGTTTAATGTTTATATTTCTTTTGCAGGAACAGCATTGCAGCCTCAGCAGTTTGTGTTTTCAACCTGAGTGCCATAACTCAGGCCTTTAATGGACCCTTCAAATACCAGGAAAACTCTCGTTCTGCTTGGCTTCCATATCCCAATCCTAACCCTAACTTTCAGGTACAGATACATGCTAGAAGGACAATAATTTTCATGAAGTTTTTTCAAGGTGTTATATGGTTCACTCTTAATAAGTCAAGTTTTGCTGTATGTTGTAGCCTAAGGCCTTAAAAAAATTGCCAAAAAATTATTTAAGAGATCCCTTTATTTTGACATTCTTAATTTTATACTTCCACAAAATAATGGTATTTAAAAGAAGACATGCTTTGAAGGGTAGGAGAATAAAACCTTTGTCAAAATGAAACATTATAGTTATCTGTCAAGGTAACATTAATTCCTGGCTGAACTACGATCAAACTGCTATTGTCTTTTACATTATATTTGTATTATTAAAACCTGAAAAAAGAACGTAGTTTGACAGAAAAAAAAAATGAAAGAGGGATGAGGTGGGGAGGAGGGTTAAGTAGGAGTGGTCAGGATTTTGTGTATTTTTTTGTGCAAGGTTGTCCACACTCCCTGAAGAGTCTGATTAAAAGTATTTGTGATGTGATTTGACCCTCCTTTGAGCTTGTCAGCCTCAGAGGGTGTAATAATCTGCAGCTGGCTGACAGCATAAAACTAATTAGTCCAAGGTGGGTCACTCAGTGAAACCGCCTACAGAAAGAAAAGGGTATTTTGGGTAAGCACATGCCACTTGTTTTCTTCTTCTGCAGTCACCACTCCTACTTGGATAATTTTGGTGAGTGTGATTCTAGCAAGGGAAATGGAAGGGCAAACAGTGATTAACAACAATAGTGTTTCACCAAGACACTTAAGTGTATTCACTTTTTCCCACCTTTCAACCTTCTTTAATCTCAATGCAATTTCACGAGTTCAGTGCTCCTATAGCAGCATTCCGTATCTTCTTGTAAGGGTAATGAGATCTTTGCAAGCATGAAACAGAATCACCCATTGGGGATTGATGGTAGTTTTAATTACTTCCTGACTTATTAAAACAGAGGAAAATAAGGCACTGAATTTGAATTACAGTACACTCTGAATTGAAGGCCAGATTACCTTTTCTAAATAATATGTTTGGCATTAACCCTAAGTGACAAGACACCATTTAAGTAAACCATATTGCAGAAGCAGGCTATATTTCTGTGTAGCTTTTTACATATCATAGAAATATTTGTGCTTTCAAAATAGTGACAGTAAGAGGTTTTAAGTGAGGCTAAATTTTTGAAGGAAAAAGCCTGAAGAAGGCCTTGTATGTAAAAATCTTACATTCTTTCTGACTAGGTTGAGAAGTCTACTGAAAGTTACTAACCTCTCCCTGCAAACCTTGTATTAATGTGTTGATAATTACTGTGAGAGGACCCCGTACAGAGTGGTACATGCAAACACAGATGACGACCTGATGACTGATGACACTGACTTGTGCTGTCAATGCTCGTCTCTAACTCCAGTCAAGAAACATTGAAGAAGACATTGAAGAAATTTCTTGCTTGGAGAGTCTGGCTGATTTTAATATGTCTGGTACTTCATCAAATTTACAGGAACAGTGGCAACAGTTGTATCACATCTCTTTAAGCAACAGCTTTGCAGGCCAGAGCTAGTATTAAAAGCTGTAATATGGCCTTTTACAACACAGTATTGAAGCAAATTGACACTAACTGATCTCTAGGTATCAGTGATGTCAAACTTCTGTTCTTTTGCAGATGCTGTATTTTGTTCTGTTGAACTTTCTGTTAGACTTCTGGCTCTGTAACTGCAGCACTACCAGAAGCTAGTCTAATGCTTAGAGCTAGGTGTAACCATTTTTTGTGATTTGTGGTGCCTTAGAGCGCATACTGTGTGTAGATTGGATATTTTCACTAGCTAAATCACTGGTTTCCTTCCCAGAAAGGAGGACTTGACTTTTCTGCTTGTGTGTTTATGGTAAAATATCAGAAGTTCTGTTTGTGTAGTCTCATAAGTAGACTTATCCTCAGAGTATTCGCTCAGCAATAACAGACAGAAGTGATCTGAAGGAAGACAACTGCTGTGTAGTGACAGTTACATAAGACATTGTATTTCAAAGACTGGATTAGATTAATGAAATATTTTGCGGATTAGAATGCTATTGGAGTCCCAGTTTTGAGGGACACTGTTTTTCTCCAGAGATTGTTGCTTTTCACTTTATGCAGGACAATTTGCATCATAAGACTGAGGACCATATTTATTTCAGTGTACTATGAGCATTCCAGCTGGAGTATTTCCTGCTTGATAGATTCAGAGAAATTCTTCTTTGGCAGGGTTTAATTTTTTTCACTGGCCTGACATGGAGGGTGCTCACAGAGCAAGTAATTGTTTCCTGCCAGTTACTTAACTTTCCTCATAATATGATCTTGCATTATGAAATTATTTAGTTGAGTTTTTCTTAACATCTGTGGATTTGAAATTATCACTTCATTGCAATAATGAAAAAAAATAACTAGTAGGGTTTTGCACACTGCATTATCTTGTTCATTCTGTAATTCATATCTTAATTTATGACAGAGAAGAATAGAATGAGAAACTGTGACTTAGGTATGCCTTTCACATAACTAACATATTTAATAAATGTTGTAAAATTACTTATTTACTTCTCTGCAATTATGCATGAGTAAACATGTGGATGTTTACATATTCACATGCACTAAGCAGCTTTCCCTTTTGTGTCCTCAGTTAGTTGAGGATTTAAACATGACAATGCTAAATTAACTGCCACTTATTTTGCTTGCTTTATTTGTGCTTGAAATTTGTGCATGCAAATAGTGAATGCTTTCCCATAAGAAAAGGGTACAGTTTTCAGATATGAGATACAGTCAGTTCCAAAGCAAAATTTACGTTGGATTACATTTCATGGTTAGAGCTCTGCACTGTCCATTCTTGGCTAGTGATGCAGGGTCTGAAGCAGCTGATTGAACTGTGCATGGTGCTGGGACCTGGGATTTCTGTCAGACCTTAGCTGTGGTAGGACATGTGATTTCCTTTGAAAATTTGTTGTGTGTTTTACACTGTGTCTGTGTAAATCATAAAGAAAAATAGTCAGAAAATTCTGTGGGTTGCTGAATGGTAGTTTTTCTCCTTCCTGATGTGTGAACATAGGATATAGCAAAATATTAGTGCAAAATATTACTATAGCCAACTTGTAGTGGTCAGTCTGGTGACCTTTGATATCTATTGGAGTTAGGGAGCCTCTGTATTACTGCCTTGGGAAAGTGGAGCTTCTTCAGTCACTGTGTGGACAGTGATCAGCACCAAAATGAGACCTTAAAGTGGAATTCCACAGTGTCACTACAAGAAATACTCTTTTTTTTTTTTAAATTTTATCATGCTGTAAATCAGAGAGTAAATCTGTTATTGCTGATGCATATAGCAATGTTACTTTTCTGTGTTTACAGTGTGGCACCATGGACCAGGGTTTGTATGTAAATCTGACTGAGAGGAATCTGCAAGATGCTCAAAAATTCTTCTTAATGCATGAGGTCGTTCAACCAGTTGTTCCAATTCCTTACTTCATGGAAGACAATAGCCGATTTTCCCATGTGGTTGTGGATGTCGTGCAGGGCAAGGACATGCTTTTCCATATCATCTATCTTGCCACAGGTATGAACTCTGCATTGCTGTGATAACTGCAAAAGTTTATGAGGTCTGAGAGTTTTAATGTTCTATAAATCAGTTATGGAATACGTATAGTGCATCATGAACAACAAATTTTCTTCTTTGACATCATTAACTCTACCTCCTACTTTTTCTGAGTAGATGAATTCAGCAGTTTGCAATGTCTTTGTGTGTATTACACTGTGAACTCAAATTTTGGCATCTGCTTCCTATTCTTCTTTGAAGGTATGAAGCCTACATGCTCTTAAGGAAGCTAACAGTTGGAAATTCTACAAACAGGACTACACAAGTTTCCCTGTCTTCTGTTCTTTTTATGTAGTTCAGAGTACTATCATGCCCAAGATAGGATAGTTTAGGATCCTCAGAGATGGCAGTAACTCTGCGAATAGCAAATACAGTCACTTCTGTTGCTATTTCTGACTTTCCAGCTCAAAAATATTTTATTACCTTTCCTTTTCATCTCATTTTTAAGTCATTCATTATGCAGTCTTACAGCCTGCCTTATTATTTGTCTATTTATATCGGAGCTTATAAATGAAATTAAAATAATCCTCCACCTAAAATTGCCTTGGTTAGAAGTATTGTTTTCTTGCTTCAAAATTTCAAGCTTCTTAAAAATAGCACGAGTATCAGAGAATTGTTTTTGCAGAAGATTATCTCCAGCTGAGACTGAAATACTAGGTTTGAGTATCATGTTCAGAGCCTTGTGGCATAAAACTTAGGGGAGTTGTCAAATACATGCACATTTGTAGTGAACAGACTGTGCCTTCACGGCAAAGGAAGCCCACAGCATCTCGGACTGTATTAACAGGAACATAGCCAGTATGATGACAGCCAGATCAAGGGAAGAGGTTATCCCCATATACTTAACACACTTTAGACCACATCCAGTTTTGGCCTTCTCCCAGTACAGGAAGCGTGTTGATAAACTAGAGCAAATTCAGTGGAAGGCTACCTTCTGTTGGAGGTTAGAGCACCATGTCCTAGGAGGAGAAGCTGAGGGTACTGGCCTTGTTCATCCTAGAGGAGAGAAGGCTTTGAGGAGGAAAGGGGAGCTTATAACAGCCTGCAAATACTGACAGGGAGTTTATATGAAGAATGAAGCCAGGTTCTTTGCAGTGGTGCATGGTGAAAAGGTACGAGACAACAGGCAGAGAGTTTCAGACTGGATATAAAGAAAAACTTTTTCACTCTGAGGGAAGTCGAGAAGTGGATCCGATTTCCCGTAGACCTTGTGCAGTCCATCCTTAGTGGCTTTCAAGGCCAGCCAGCAGCCTAGTCTGTGTTGCAGCTAGCTGTCCTTTGAGCAGAAAGTTGGACTTGAAACCGCCCTTGTAATCTGAATTATCCTCTATCGTATCTCAATACAATGTTAAAATTGATTGGGCTAAATAACATTTTTACTCCATCCTGTGATAGCAGATATCATTGTACTTTTTGTTCCCAAAAGGGAAGCACATTCAACTCTAATGGAAGTACTGGCAGTAAGCAATTTACACCATGTGGTGTAAAGCAGGATGGATCCAACCCATGCTGTGTGAGATGTTCTCTGCATAACTTTTGTAATTCATTACAACATTCTTACAAAAATCGTTTTTTAAAATGCACAAAGCTGATTCAGTGGAAAGGTAGGCATACAGATTGGATTGAATACAAATGAATGCTCTGCTGTATTTGTTACTCAAAGCAAAAATCCCATTCTTTGAAGCAGATGGGCAGCTGTTAAGAGAAAATGCTCTCCTTCCCCCCCCCACATTCACTTACCTATCCACCCTGTTATTAGAATACAAATGTTACAGAGGAGGATAACCCTGATCGTATAAAAGTGTAATCCAATTTCATTAAACCTTAAATAGATAAAATATTAGTTAAGGAGAGACTGGGAGTAAGCAAACAAATGCATTAATCCTGCTGTGTCAACAGTCTTCATTTCCTAAACCTTTGCCAAGTCATCATTTTGCTAGGACATTCTGATGTGCTGGGATTTAGCAGCTACTGCTCATATGAAAAATATACTTTAGTACTTTGGAAACACATCTTAATCTTTCGCTGCACTGACTTCTAATACAGAATGAAGGGCTATATAAATTCCTGCACATTTTGGGTTTCTTAGAACTAGCAGTGCTGCTGGCTTTAGACCAGAAAAATCCCTGAAACAATTTTCATTGATTCAGAGTGGAAAGTCAAGGAAAGCATTCACAGAAGTTCTGAACTAAAAATCCTCTATAATAATAAGTTAAAAGTAGAGCAAGCTAGAGAACAACACAATATTCTAAAAACTTTTCAAGTTTAAAGACTTTACTTCCTTCTTTATTAGAAAAAATTCAAAGCAAAATAGTGCTATCATGTGTCATAGCTCTGTTTCCCTCCCATTTGCTTCTTTTTTCCTCCTCCCTTTTTTTTCTCCTTTTTATTTCTCCTTTTCAGCTTAAATGCCTAGTTGTCTTGTGGTCAAAAACTTTGCCAATATCAAAAGATCTTCAAAACATTTGTCAGAATACAGGCTGCTGCAACAAAAGCAAGTAGCCCTTATTTAGAGGACTGTTGTGAAATGTATTGCTTTATTAGAATGAATAAGAAAATTATTAGATATGATATCTAATTTAAAGTTACTCTGAAAACAGTTTCTGGTTGCTCTTTCTTGGAAATACAGAAAAGGTAATATCTGCACTGTTTGAAAATAAACTTTAAGGCTGTATTTTAAAAATTGCTTGGTGGAAAAACTCCCATATATTCTCTGTTCTTCGGTCTGACTGAACAGAGGATGTCCTCCCCGTATCCTGAGTAGAAATGGTATATGCCTATTGGTGGATCTTAATTATTGGGATTTATAGTTTAGCATTGGTGAAACTAATGTGTGGCTGACTTATAGAGTATGAAACCAAAAGAAAGATTTATTGCTGACTACATTGTGTGCCTCTAAAGACTGGGTTGTTCACTGAACTGAACTTGATCTTTTTATTCCAAAAGCCACGTCTTATCTGAGGCTTAAAGATGACTGGAAGATGTTACAGCAGGTTTTGAACTTCCCTTTCCAAGAAATTCTAGGAAGTGTTTTTCCCTGCTCTTAAGACCTCAAAATTAGAGGTGGCAATGCAGTGAATATTGATAAAAATAATTCTGATGAAACACAGCAATTATTATGAAGTGGAGAGGTTTCATAAAGCAAATTCAAAAGATATTTTTTGAAAATGCAGATGGATTTTTCATACATTTGCTTTTGAAAGGGTTATAACAGGTAAATAAATCTCCACAAATGTGACTTTTTTTTTCATGAAGCCCTGATGCTGTATATTATCCAGAAACCAGTCCCAAGTTCATGAAGTGATACAGAAGTGTGCATGAAACTCAGTTTGAAATGCTATCAAAACAGTTTGTATTTCTTCTGTTTCTCTTGCTAGATGGGAGTAAATTGATACAAAGTAGTATTCAATTTGATTCCTCTGTGATTTTTGTTGCAGTTCTATGTCTTTCATTCTGCTTTTGTAATCAATACATGATACTTTTTGTTAGGGTACAACTCAAGGTCTTAACTAGAAAAAAAGTTTTTGTGTGTGTTTTTGCTAAAAAATCTCGGATTAAATGTTGTCATTTTTCTGGCAGACTATGGATTCTGATCAAATTGTGCAGCTTTCACAGTTTAATGTGCATGATGTCATAATATAAGTAGTAATGTGAAGTCACGGACCTTAAAATTATGGGCAATAATATGTGCTTACATATGTTTCATACATAGTGAAGAGAACAACAAACCTTAAATAGACCGCTTTTTTTCCAATTTGGTGCTACTTCTGCCTGTATTATCTCAGGTGTGTTGTGGTTATTGGGAGTAATCTGCAGATAATTTTTGTAGAAAGGAGCTATAGACTTTTCTTCTGATTGAGAAGCACCTTTTTAGTCTAGAAACTACAATATAAATGCAGTAATAATAATGATCAAAGTAGTCATAATTTTAGTTACAAGTCAGGTGTGAAAGTGGTAGGTTGCCTATTTGTACATATTAATACTTTCTAGTTCAAAAACAGGAACAGATGCATATGGGGCATATATAATATGGCAGGCAGTTGCCACCTTTTAAAACTATTTCTCTTCTGTTGTAATGGAAAATACAGTTGCTTTTTTTCTTATGCCTTTCCTTGACAGAGGTATAGTCTACTTTTACACAGTTGTAAAGCACCCCTGCAATGGTTTTAAAACTACTTTCCTATTACTTCTTACCCTTCTGGCCTTATGCAATGTCATTTTGAGAGGCTTGAAGCAAGGACAATCTACTGTGTAAAACTGGTCCATGTTGGAAGACAGTCCTAACAGCAACATGATGATCTTAACATTTATTTAAAAAAAAATAAAATCAAGCAGTGAACAATAAAATTAATAATGTTATTATCTGTTCCTATTACAGTGACCACTATCTCTGATAAAGGAAACCCCTAGCTGAGTGAATACTTTGTTTATATTATTCATCTTTCCAGGAAACATTTTTCTGCAAAGCTTTAAAAACAAAGATTTTAAAATTGCATGATTTTGTCTTCAAGAGTCTAATGTTCACTCTGGGATTTATGTTAATGTTACTAAGAATGCTTGCTATATATTCCTGCTAGAATGTTTATGTTTTTTTCCATGTAGAATATCTTTAAAGACAAAGAAGGATAGTGTAAACCATAGCTGGTATAATTTAACCTTAGAAATGTTTATTTGCCACTGCCTTGTGTATTGTGCCATCTGTACTGGGCAAAGTGGCTTTAAAAAGTTATCAAATGAGAATGGTCATGTCTAAAGTCCAGGCTACATAGTTATAAATGATACTATAGAGCTCTAGAGAATCAAACACAGAATTTAAAATGTCCAGTAGTACTGATTTCCCTTGGCTTTATCACTGTGTGTAGAGATAAATCATTCTGCCAGCTCCAGTTGGAGAGTGCTAAAGAGGTTTCTTAATAAATAGATGGCTCTAACTAGAGCTGGTTCAATTATTCATTGTCAGC